TGGAAATCACACACCTGAAATTTCTGAAGTGATAGCAACTGAAATAAAGGAACACAGGGCATGTAATTCAGATTATCAGACTCATGATTGGTGGTATTGTACCTGTTCCCAGTTTTCAGTCTGAATAAGCCATAGAATTAGGTCATTATGGTTTACAACAGAGTTTATGAGCCTTAAACTTTCCATTTCTTCATTGCAGAATTATTTGTTGCTTTGTTAGTGGGGACTTCAATTATTATTTTTCTTTTTGGAGATATTAAAACTGTTCTGAGGTCATGTAATTCCAATCCTAGTTTCTACTCCTATGCATTATAGCAAACAATAAGTACTTTGAAAATGCCTGCATAAGTGAATGTGTGATTGAATTTCCTGTGACAGAAGCCAACAGAATTGTTATTGGTTGTGTTGTCTCTAACTCTCCATCTCACCAATCAGAAATTGTTTATAATTACATACATTGGATCACAGGTGCTATATGGCAGAGTGACTTTGTAGTAAACATCAAAAGAAAACTCTGTGATAATGTTTTGTGTTTATTTGGAGAGGACAATGAAAACTGGTAAGCTAGTGTACCTGCTTAATGGGTTAGTTTTTCATTTGATATTAATTTCTTAGACTATTCTAATGCTATTTTCACAATAAATCATCACAACTATACAACAATCCAGATGGACTGATCCTTTCTTTTCTCTCTAAGGACTGAAGCCAACAGTGGGGGCTTTCTTCATTATGTTGCTTACCCTTTTGATGGTGGCTTGTTCAGCTGATTCTCTGGCACTGGCCATGACAATAGATCAGACTGTGCTGCTGTCCTTACTAGGATTTCTCATGGGCAACTACTTTCGGGTTATGGTGGTAAGTAGGAACTGTGCATCTCCAAGAGAGAAAATTTTACATTGTCCTTCTTACACAGTCACCATCATGTAAACCTTGCTTTGGGGATTCTATACATGGGATTCTGATGTTATATGAAAGTCATATTTTGAAATAAGTTTATTAGGGAATGTAATAACTTTTCTTGATGCTCTTATAAAGCCTTTTTTATTGGTTTTGTAATGTAGTTACTAGTATATCTTAGCTATGTCTATCAATAAGTTGTTTAAAGAATAGTTTTTGTGACATATTAGGAAATCTTCATAACCTGGAAGCCCAATAAACAGGATTGACAGATTCCTTCCTGGTAATGCCAGGTTATGTGGTTACTTTTCATGTTAGCATTAGAGAAATTCTGACTCTTTATCCACTGCAGAGGTATAGTTCTTGGATTTACTTCTCTCTAGGGTGAGAGAATGTTCTCCAAAGTTCTAGCAGAAGTTCACAAAGTGCAGCACTTTGAATGATTCCCACTTTGGAAAAAAATCCTTTTAATACTAGAAAATTCACAGTCCACTGCCCAATAGAAGTCTCTCCAAGTGTAATCTGTGCATGAGTTTTGGTAGATGATGAACAAGTTCTATGGGCCTCAGCGCTCCTGCAGAAAGGGGAAGGCAACTGCCCTTAGCATCAACAGTCACACACCAGAAGCTATATTTACATAAGAGGACCAGTGACCTGGGTCTCAGAGCACTTCCAGAAACATTTCCTTTTTGATTGGTAGAGAGGGCCCTTTTCAGTGCAGAATCCAGATCTACTGTTTTGGAAATTTAAAAAATGTACAGATTCTGTCCATCAGTGTTAGTAGTATCTAGAAAAGAATACCCAGAAACTTTCTTGAAGAGATGTGTCTGGAATGCAGAGCATGGTATACCTTGGGGGAGAAGACCACTTACTAAAGGACTTTCACAATACATCAGAAGAGATACATCTCTGCCTGAACTCTAAAGCGCCACACAGAGACAGAACTAAAAATGAGAAAAAAGGCAACAAGATCCCTCCAAAAGTGCTCAGCTCTCCCAAAGCTAATCTCATAGATATGGAAATAAATGAAATTCCAAATAACTAGAAGAACTGATAATTAAAATTGTCACTAAGGTCAATAAATCAGATAAGCAGTTGAATGAAACAATAAATAAATTGACCAATGAGATTAAAAAAGAGGCACAAGCTATAGAAAGAATTATGAGAGATAATGAAAGGCATAAAAGACAGTTTAAGTTAAGAGATAGAAGTTCTGAAAAATAACCAAGTAGCAATCTTCAACATGAAAATTTCAACAAACAAAGAAACTTAATTGAAAATTTAGGCAGTACAAAAGATCAGTACAACAGTAAAATCTCAGGTGTCAAAAGTAGTGTGGAAGTGCTGGAACACACAAACAGGTTTTTAAATTTTAAACGAGATCTAATTTTATTAAGTTTTGTTTTAATATCATTATTTGAAAAATTAGATTTCTTTCTCAGTGTACTGAAATACATGTTTCTTTAGATAATACATCTATGGTACTCTGTTTAAATACACACACAGACACAGACACAGACACAGACACACACACACACACACACACACAACTGTGCAGATTTTTATTTCAATGTGTCTTCCAATTCCCACCATGAAGAGAACTGTCAGGATCTTGGTTGAACACTGTTCACTCCCTTTAAGCTGTTGCTGCTCTTTCAAATAGTCCTTAATACCCATAAAACGATGAATACAATTATTAAAATGGGCAAATGAACTGAATGTTTTTCAAAAGAAAAAGTCCATACGGCCAAAAAGTATATTGCCTAACATCTCTCAGCATGAGAGAAAAGTAATTCTAAACTGTATTGAGTTTCCTTCTCACCCAATTCAGAATGGCATTACCAAGAAAGTGAAAAACAATGAATCATAGCAAGGATACAGGGGAAAATAAAACCTTCTACACAGCAGCTGGGATGATCTAGTATGGACATTTTTCAAAAGTCTAAATCATTGGAAATACCATTTAACCCAGTCTAAACATATTCACAGTCACCAGCAACATGATCATTAGTTTACATATCTCAGTAGGCCTAGTCTCAATTTGGGCAAGTTTTATGTGTCACTTATTCTTCTTGAGCACTCCTTCCACTTATCTCCATTGTGATAATGGCTAGGTGTGAAAGGATCTATTGACCATATTTTCTACTTTTCTTCACTACATTATGCTGTTTATCAGTTCTTGACTTGGGATTATGTAAACCTGCATTCTGACCCCATGTTATTGGCATTGCAACACAGGACAAAAACATTGTAAAAATACTTTTATGTTTGTACGAAAGTAGAGACAGGCATTGGATGCTCAGGATTAGTCTGGTCTGTTCCTAGCATGTCAAGTTGATTAGGGGAACAGATAGTAGTTCTCACAGAATAGTCAATAGAATTGTTCAATACATATCAGTTTCACAAATATTCAAATATCCTCAGAAATAAGACATATACAGCAAAAATTGTGCCTTTACAGAATAAGTAACTTATTCTTTTTATTTTTAATTTTTTTAAAGAATACAAAATAGTGATAGAAAAAAACAGCATTAGAAACAATACAAAATTTCACTAAATAAGGTAATAAGAACTCAACAATGATGGCTGAATTACATGATGCTATCTTTAAATTCATTGTTCAGGTTACCAGATACAAACATGCAAGATTTTTTAAAAGAAAAAAACAAAACAAAAAAGCAAAAACTTATAAGAAATTAAAAAAATAAAAGAAAAAAATTTTAAGCATTAAACAATCCTTTCAGAAGACCAGCAGAAATCAACAGTACAATTATCCAAACTGTTCTGTAGAGATACCTAACTATATCTTTTTCCCTTCTTTTATTTGACCTTTTCCTCCTCTCACTTTCTCCTCATTGAAAAATTTCTTTCCCTTTACAGCATCTGTTGTGCCATTTTTTAGAAATCTCTTATTTATTTCTTTATTTGATGCAAGGTCTCACCATGCAGCTTGGATTTATAGTGATCTTCCTTTCTCAGCCTCACTAGCTCTGGGATTATAGGCATGTGCCACCGCACCCAGTTTCTGTGGCCAGTACAGTGTGCTTGGGGTTCCAGGGTTCCTGGGAACACATAGCATGTGGTAACAGGAATAGAAACTGGGTACTTGTGCTTGCCAGGCAGGTCATTAGACTGCTGAGCTATCTCCCCAGCCCCTGTTGTACATTTTAGATTTTAATTACTCTTTGAGATTCTCACACTAGTGAGACAATGCAATGTTTGCACATCTGGATCAGATTTGTTTCACTTACCAATACAGTCTCTAGCTGCACCCATTTATCTACAAAAACATTAAATTCATGCTAATTATACCTAAATAATACTCTACTGTGTAAAAATACCATATTTTAAAAAATTCATTCCTCAGTGGATGGACTTTTGGCTTGTTTTGAAAATTTAGCTATGACAACTTGTGCTGCTATAACAGGGTTGCACATATATCATTGTGGTGTGATGATTTCAGTTCTTTTGAAAAAATGTCTAGGATGGCAATAGCTCACCTGAATGGGACCTCCTAACCTAATTGTTTGAGAAATCTCCATACTGATTTCCATAATGGTTGACCTGACCTGCACTCTGACAAAAACTGGGGAAAAGTTACTTTTTCCCATAGCTTCTTCAGAATTTGTTACTGCTTGACTTCTTTTATTTTTTTCCCATAATTTCATTAAGAAACAAATAGCACTGAGACACTTTAAAATTGGTGGGACAGTTTCAATAATTAACACATTGTATACATTCTTCCTAGTGGTTATATGCTGTACAAGATGCGGACATGATATCCTATTTACAGACACTATTAGAACAAATCCCTCTATTCATTAAGAGAATGTAACTATGTATCTATCCTAACCATTTTGAATACACAGATACAAAATGGACATTCGTCTGTATCCCTTTTTTTTAGTTCCATCATTTGAATATTACAGGTGGGTTAACTCAGCAAAATATTCTAAAAGAGTCTGATAGTGCATAATAGTATTGGGGCTCTTGCTTGACTAGCAATGTCGAAAATTGTTGACCTGAATCCCCTACAGTTCAACATAACACCATGGCTTACTTCTTATAATTCATTTTTATATTTTTCTGCTGAATGGTTAAGATCAATATAAAGCAAGAATATGCAATAAGAATTGTAGCTTTTGGATCTGATAAGGTCAGTGAAATCCCCTCAGGATTTATCCTGAGATCCTATATCTCAAATTGTAGATCCTTCGTCAGTGTCAGCCATGTGGATGAGTCACGGCCATTGCTTGGCCAATGTGCTCTCTGTGAAAGCCTGAGAGAATGTTTTCTCTCCATGTAACTCTAATTAGGCATGCTCTGCATCATTGATCACATTGCTCTTTGGCCCCATTATCACCTTGATCAGAAAATTTGGGACACTGCTGAGATATAAGATATGGCAGTACAAGTTCTCATGTCTTGAGTCTTAATTGACCTTGAAAGGCTAGGGCTAAAATGTTGGCATTCCTTGCAGTCCTCTTTTTTCTCTAACTTTGGTCTGCAAACTTAGGTTGTTAACCCTCCAGAAGAGAAGCTTATTGTTATTACCATACAACCTAGGCTATTAAGCTTAACCTCAGTATCTGTCTGAATATCGAACATTTTAGGCATAACAGGAAACAGGTATTTTTCATCAAGTTTTGATATGTTGAACTTTAAGTCCCTACAGAATATGATGAAAAATCATGTGAAAAATTGGAATATATCTTAAAAATAGGCATAATGAATTATATAATTCTTATTTTTACACATAAGTCAAGAAATCTAACCATATACAACCTTGAAGCAGGTCAGCCCAACAACATTCCTTTTCCTGTCTCCTGCCTTCATTCACCAACCCCTTCGTTTTGAACAATCATCTACCTGAAAGACAGCATGGCAGCAACTGGCATGTCATGACAAGCAGCCCATATTCAGAAGACCAGAATGACAGGCACTCCAAGCATGAAACT